AAGGTTATTTTTTTAAAAAGATTTACATTTAAAAATAAGATACACATTGGCAAAGGTTCCAATGTTGATTCGATTTTTTTTTCTACCGATTTTGTACAATTACACTTTCTAGCATGTTTTAACACTGCCTTTTAAGCAAACTAGTCCCTGCTATCAAAAAGTTGGGAGATCTTCATCATAAAGATGCTCTGTGACTATTAGGATATAAGACCTTAAGCACATAAATACTTACAGCTAGCCTTCAATTTAGCTATATATTCCATCCATTAAGCTTTTTTTTTTTTTTTAAGCTAGACTCACAACTTCACAACATTAAGTATACTGACTGAAACACCCCAGGAAAAGGTGAGCTCATTTCACAGGATGTGAACATGCTACCACCGGTATCATGGAAGCATCACAGAACTATCTATTTAGAAAAATCATTAGGCTATTCTTTACAGAGGGGGAATACGAAAAGTGAAAACTTGGTCAAAGGGAAGATTTCAGAAAAGGTTTGAAATGCAGTTTTTTGTCTGTCAACTTCTGCACTCCTTTCTCTTTACGACACAATCTAAAAAGTCTTGTTAGCTAAAAACAAATCGGACACACACACACCCCCCACATTTGATTTATGGCACCTGGAAGCATTAGCCTTCAGAGCTTGATAGCAGTGTCCACATTTCCTAAACCTGTCACTCCTGGCTGTGAGAGCACAGGCTAGACAAAAATAGCACACACTGGAAACATGGCGGCTTGCTGCAAATGCTGCTTTCAACCAATTGTGAAAAGAAAAACCCACCATAATTTTCTTTGTAAAGAATACTTATTACATGCATGTAACCCTTAACATAAAAGGTCACCAAGTAAGCCTGCTGAGAATTAATAACACATCAGATCATCCAGATCAAGACTAAAATGTACCTGAAAGATGTATGGAAGCCTTTTCTCTGGTCTTCCTCCAGCAAGTATATCTAGGGCCTTGCAAGAGGCCATAAAGTCTTCATAAGAGCACTACTTTGCATTTAAACCTTGGCTTAATCTCGGATTCAGCCAAGGTCATGCGGTAAGTCACGGTAAGATACACGCTCTACTTCTGCTCGAATTATGACTCCCTTCATCTATAAAGTTAGAGCAAAGGAGACACCTACGATCTGATACATCTGACGACCTCACTATGTAAGCACCCAGGATTACTCCCTCAACCTCCGCCTACAACTATTGAAAGGGGCTATCTCAGCTACATGCCAGGCTTCGGGCCGCCTCATACCTAACCCCCGCCCCCCTCAAAAAAACAAAAAACAACAAAAAAAACCCCAAAACCAAAAAAACACACACACAAAAAAAACAAACCCCAGCGGATGAAAAAACACCAGAGCTGTAAAGCCGAGAACAAAGCTCGCAGCTCCACATCTCGACCCGCACAATGAAGGCCCGTGAACAGCCGATCCCACCTCCCCCCCCCGCGCGCAAATAACGCTCCCTTCTAAATAACTGCTAGCCGAGCAGCGCAGCGCTGTACCCCGGTCCCGCCTCGGAAATCTCCGAGGGCTCCGCGGGACCAGGACGTTCCTCCCGCCCGAGAGCCCCGCTCCACAGCCCCCACAGGGGGCTGCGAAAGCCCGGCCACGGGGTCGGACGGGAGGGCGCTCGCCACAAAGCGCCGCCGGGACCGGGCGGGCCT